CGATCAACTCCAGTCCATTCAATTCATTGTTCGCGCCTTCTCCATTGTTAGGTATTTCTCCGCGTTAAATATTGAATATCTATTTTCTGAGTAGTCTCGTGTTCACAGCTTTGTGGATTGTGTGGCTATTGTCCAATGCCACTACAACTACTCCTATAGCGTTTTCCTCCAAAGACTGTCACCAGCTCAGGAACGTTATAGAACTTTCGGTCGAGAGTTACGAGCCATGTATTTAGCCGTTAAACACTTCACCTTCTTATTACAAGGGAGAACCTTCACTATAATGACTGACCACAAGCCTTTGTGTTACTTGTTCAATACTTCATACGATCGACATTCACCACGCGAAGCACGACAATCAGATTACATCTCCCAGTTTACAACAGATATCCAATACGTCAAAGGGCACACTAATGTAGTAGCTGACACATTATCACGAATGTATGTGAATACCCTGATACGTAAGCAGGATATCGATTTGGAAACAGTCGCAAAATTGCAAGTAGACGACTCAGAAATAAAAAGCTGCCAAGTGAAACCTAACTTGATACTTAAACACGTACCGATTCCTTTTTCAGACTCATTTATCATCTGTGACACCTCGACAGGCAACAATCGTCTGTTCGTCCCACATGCTTGTCGACGAAAAATATTCCAGCACTTGCACGGTCTTTCACACCGAGGCATCAGAGCAACAACAAAGGTCACTACCGAACGTTTCGTGTGACCAAAAATCAACTCGGATGTTAAACGTTGGGCACGTAGCTGTCTCCAGTGCCAACGCATTAAAAAGCAGAAACACACCTCCAGTCCAATTGGGAAGTTCCCTATCCCTGACAAACGCTTACAGCACGTGCATTCAGATTTAGTGGGGCCCCTGCCACCATCAAACTCTTTCACACACATCCTTACTGCAGTAGACAGGTTTACTTGATGGGCCATAACCTGCCCCATAAAAGACACTTCGGCAGAAATAGTCGCTTCAGTCTTCCTCGACCGCTGGATATCTAACTATGGAGTGCCATCATTAATCACAACAGATCGTGGTCCCCAATTTCACTCTGTCCTTCTTCAGGAGTTCACTAAACTTCTAGGGGTCAACCACACTAAAACCACAGCTTACCACCCAGCAGCTAATGGCTTGGTCGAGAGATTTCAATGCTAACTAAAATGCTTGCTGATAGCACAAAACGACATATCAAAATGGAGCGATGCATTATTTTTTGTACTCCTAGGTATCCGTTCAACAATCAAAGAGAACATAGGGTGCACATCTGCTGAGTTAGTCTATGGTACAACTCACAAATTACCAGGACAACTCGTAGACTCAAATCCAGCAACAGCAAAAGACCCAAGCCGTTTCGCCAGCCAATTACTACAAACCATGGATAGAATCAAAGCCACACTGCCTCGAGAACATAACAAGCGAGTGCAACTTGACAAAAACCTTGAAACATGCAAGTTTGTTTTCGTCCGTGTTGATGCAGTTAAAAAAACCCATTGAAGCAACCGTACGAAGGACCATAACAAGTAATCAAACGAACAAGCAAATACTTCGTTACCAACAAAAATGGGAACATGGAGACAATCTCCGTAGACAGAATAAAACCAGCTTTTTACGAATTCCTTCAAGACAAAGAAGATACTACTGCACTTAACCAACCCCTCCCAGCAACCACCACTAGAGCAGACGAGGAAGAAAAGCCCAGTAGCAAACCTACTTTTTAACACGTCTAAATCAAATACTATCTACATTTATAGACTGTTATTGGAGTATATCACATCCTACGTTGGATTATATCACTGGAGAGTTCGCCAACCCGATCAGTATTACCAAGCATTTATGATTGAGGATTTACAATACCGGACCCAATCAGAACACGCAAGATTTGGTGAATTTAAGTAAAGTCCCAAATTTTTATTGTATTTGTAACAATTAACTGGTATATATTAATATTACTATTGATCTTTAGTAACTTTGTTGATACTTTTCGCGTTCATATTTGTCTGGTCCACCACAATACCTATTGTACGGGGAGGGTGTGGAGATAGGGATGGTTGTCGTGGATATCTCCACGAGGGTATTCTAAATTATTCAAATGGTTCTAGACGGAAGTGGAGAAGCTTTCGTTTAGTGAGCTTTCGTATCTAGTAGTAGTGGATCACCGATGCCTCGTGGCTGGAACCTAGGTACATTCTACGATAAGAAGGAACATATTAGTAAATTATAGTGAGTTACAGTCCTGAGTCCTTAAGAATATGTCAAGTTTCCTCTTAAAGTACTCCTGCGAGGTCGCTCAAACTACTTCAGTCGGCAACAAATTCCAGAATTCGACTACTTGTAAAGGGTAAAAGGAATGCTCACAGTCAATTGTGCCATGATGTCATGATGTTAGACCTGAGCTTAAGTAGATAATTAATAGGATACACAGGAGTGTTTAAGATGTTATAAGTCCTTAAAATGTCATCTCTGAGACGCCTATATTCTAATGGCTAAGGGTCTAGTAATCACAGACACTCTTCATAAGGTTTGAATTTTAGTGCCTTAACTGATTTCGTGGCTTGCCGCGTATTCCATTTCATGTCTACTTCCAATTTTCAGTGAAGTGCGTTCTACGGCCTTGCTCTTTACCGTTTACCTTCAGGATTCCGTGTTACGACTTGCCTCGTAATGCAGTTTGATGATCTCCATAACGCATGTCTCATCCACTTTTAACGTCTTTTCCTAATCTCCTACTCAGCTGGAAGTTGGTTTTTCCTCTTTCACAGTAGATTGTTGTTCATTGTATCCGGCCTGTCGACACTTATTCTTCCTCCTTAATCTTTCTGAATAAAACGTCGAGCATGATTGCAGTTACTTCTATGTCTGACCTCGATGCTTCCTCTGGTATATTGTTAGGTCCTGCTGCCTTCCCCCTTTTATTTATCTGATGGTCATCCTAGCTTCCCCGTCGTTGGTGGAGTGACATCTATATGAAGGTCTGAAGGTGCTGCTCCAATGTCCGGTGGATTTAATGGATCTGTATTGGCATTGGACCATAACCACACAATCTTCAAAGTTGAGCACAAAACTGCTCGGAAAATAAATATTCAATAGTTAACGCGGAGAAATACCAAACGATGGAAACGGCGGGAACAATGAATTGAATGAATTGGAGTTGATCGAATGGCATGGCTCGGCCATTCAGGCGTGGTCCCTGCTGAATATTACCTCATATATTTTATTCATATTAAACATATTGTTCTTTCTCTAGCCTAAGCTTGTTTTTCATCATGTATTGGTAGTTGTTACGATGCAGTAAGTTGGTGTAGACGATGATGTGACTTCCACGTAAGATCTTATAGATTAGGCAGTTATATCATGACAAATCTACAATTTTAGGATTAGGTCTATTATTAGAGCAGTACTAATATCATAGTAGACCATAATTCTACAGATCTAGGATCAGTGAGGCATGTCTATTCAAGACTTTATCAAAGTGTTCTACCCATCCGTTCCTTGAATCTCAGAGATTGACTTACCTTATTTACCCTTGATTGGTCATTCTGGTTTACTATATATCTACGTTGTGTCATACAGTTGTTTCATATTTACTTCTCTTGCGGCTATTTCTGCTGGCGTTGCTAGGTCTTTTTTATTGTCGGTTCTAATGTTTCTCTACACTTTCCTAATTGCTTCCGTGTATTTAGCTTGTGCCTTGATTTTCTCTGTTCCTGTTTGGCTGTTGTTAATTACTGTCTTTTTGTCCTTCCCTTCTTGAATCATGTAAAGGTTTTCTAAAGAGATCCGTCCCTTATGATGATGCTTCTTGCGGCCCAGCACCTCCTGACACGTTGAAGTTAACACTCCTTTGGTACCTTTCCAGTTGTCCTCCATGGTGGTTTCTCCTTCTTTCAGTGGATCCTGTAAGGCTTGGACCCGTTTTTGAGAGTTATCTTGAATTCGTCGAGTTTGTAAGTATTTCAAAGGAAGATTGTATTGAACCTTTGTAATGCTGTTCTCCCAGTTGTCCAGTGTCTCATCTTGCTCAGAACCGGGTGTTGATCTGAAGCTATGTCATCTCCCCTCTTGGTTCTCACGTATTCCGTCAGGACGATCAGGTCTTTTCCCGGGTATTTTTCTATTATCGATAGCATCCTCTCATTAAACTGATCTATATCATCATCGCTGCTATCATCAGTAGGTGTATAACATTTCATAACATTCATCGTGATTCCCTTCTTTCTTTTGAAGGATGATGTGATAGACCTAGGTCCACGAGATTGCAATCCTGTGAGTGCATTATGTGCTTCTCTGGACAGCACTAGAGTAACTCCCTGAGTGTGTGGAGCATTTCCCTCCTCGTCACCAGAGTATAGCAGAATCTCTCCCTATTCAGCCTTAGCTGTCCAACTTGGGTTCGATGGGTTTCGCTAATTCCGAACACTGCCAAGCTGTATTTCCTCATTTCGGTTGCTACTTACTAGTCCTCCAGGTCCCTCGCATTGTCCGGATATTCTACGTACCTGTAGAAATTGTTGCTCTGATTGTCAGAAGGGGCATCGTCCTCATGACTTCCGAAGAATCTCTGTTTTAACACTGAGGCGTCATAGTTCTCCCTTGAACTCACAGGAGAGAGTTTAAATGGTTTAATTTGTTAATTCTAGTTCGCGTTTTTTAACAAGGATGGTTTCCTCGGAATGGGGTCCAGTTAAACCTATTTTCACTCGACAACAGTCAACTGATGTTTTTGTCTTACCCACCTTACGACTTCGTGCCAAAGATTTTGAGTGTTGCAAAACCTTACGCCAACCCCTAGAAAACCGATATGAAGGATCATTTAAATTCCTTCATTGCAAACCTATGTATTATATTATCGATAAGAACGGAACTAACGATAACATTATATTTCATAAGTCTCTCTATTTTATCAAACGATCAGTAGCTGAACTTTCACTCACAGGCGAGTTGTTATCAAACAACACTAAGTATAAATTGAATCTCCACAGCAATACTTGCAGTAGCGATTAAGTAGGTTGACCGCCCTATTACACCCAAATTACTAACAGCCGGAACTCTTCAGAGAACCATGAAGTTACAACTGTTCTTATACACAAACAAGAATAATACCAAGTGAGATATTCTTTTCATCTGGACTACACATCCTTTTACTCTTAAGTTGAGGATTGATGGGAACAATTTGGAGATTGAACGGACGTCGGAGCGGTGTTTCGGGTTTTGCGTTATGGCTAGGTTTGGAGCCAAGGTTAGGGAACTGCGATTTCTCGTTGCCCAGACTGCTCCTTCGAGCTCTGGAATTAGGTTTGTTAACTGCAATTTTGGTCTAAAATTTTCCACAAGGGCGCAGGTATATTCATTTGATCTTTCCTAAGTTTCCGGACCTCAAAGTTTTGTTATATCTCTATTTTCTCCTACACCTAGTCTTTTCTGCTACCATTCGTACTATTACTACTTTTACTTCTCTGGGGTTCGTCATAATAAATATAGCTTGCGGTGGTAATGAGGTGCGAGAACTTGAACCAACACACGTATGTGTTAGGTTCTACATTACATATAAATGATAACTTTCGTTCGTACGTATGATGAATTATCAATTTTAAGCTTTCAGAAAATCAAGTCTGATTGCTACCACAACACTAATATTAATGAACTTGATATAAATTTATATTGGAAATCGACAATGCAGCTAACGGATTATTATACGTCGTCTTTCACTTTGTCTAATCCTCCCTACAACCGTGAAGTGTTAGATTGGATAACAATCCACAGTATATCCTCGTCAGTCATGTGGTCTGTTTATCTAAGCCATCTTGATTCTACGCATAATTAACTAGAAAATTCATTCGATTGTATTTACTGACGATTTTAAACCGTGCGAAGTTATTGTTCCCCTATCAATGAATGCTTTATTTGAGTGTCAAGGTTCTTTGTAGCGATGGCTTGTTACGGGTGCGCAGATGTATTCATACTCTTATTATAGAAAATGTCAACAGTAAAACCATAAACTGCGTTTTGTACATTCCTTCAGTGATATGCTGAGATACTATATTATCCAATAATAAAGTCGTCCATCTCATTGATCATAGCTATTATTATCCTCTGAAGTATTTTGATCACCGCTACACAGAAATGTTGTTCGTTAAGCTAATTTCACACAAACCATAAGAGCTATATCTGTCTAAAATATATGAATATATTTCTTATGGAATCGATTTTATGGAACAATAAAATCATTTTTACAAGTTGCCAAGGTTTATTTAAATAATCTACAGTCCTCATTTTTCTGTAAACTTACAGGGATTTTATTTCACGTCACTATCTGTCTCTAAAAACTGCTAATCCTCATGTGAAGTTTATGATTCGTGAATCAGAAGGGATCACACCAAAAGTGTTCGCTCGTTATGGTTAGTTTAACTAATTTTTTAATGTTTACTTTCTTATTATAGAGATGGGGAAGGAAGACTGCATTTCAGTGGCAAATAACACAGCTGATGATATAATTTCGAAACTTAAGACTCTAGATCGAGTATAAAATGTTTTTTTGTAACGATTCTACGTAAATTAGTTTATAATTAATAACTTTGAGGATAAATAGCATTGTTGACAGCTTTATTCGTTTCTGTCAGTGAAAGAAACATTTAACTCGTTGAAATATAAATCAATTATCGGTGAACTTATGTTTTAAAACTCAAGGGTTTCGTGAATGTAAAGTTCTAATCCCAGATTAGTTCACTAGAAAAAACGGCAAAGTATTTTTCAAGGAATAGATGTAGCTTTCAATCTGGATATTATTCAACCAACCTGATTGGTATGTTACGGCCTCAAAGAACGATCAATCAGCGAATATGGTACGATTGAGTCGTCACGAAAGATAATCTCAATACCACCTCAAGATAACAACAATGGTAGTCTACTGACTACAAACGTTTACACTAGTGGGGTGGAGGCTACTCACAAGATTACTTGTAACTACTGTGTGGAGGAATGTGGGCTCAAAAACCGTCAGACAGAGAAGTCTCGGCACACCAAAGCACGAAGTAGACCGAACACTTGAAGACTAGAGGAGAAAACAGTTAGGATAGCAGAATACACGGTGAGATGAGAATGGATGATGGAAGGCTATATATATGTATGATATAAATACTGCAATTTCTCACAGTAAACATTGGCTCCTTCTGCTCATTGCCTTGTTTTAGATTGGCTTCGGGGTTGGCAATTTTGATTAGCTTTTACGTAGTAAATGAATCCTACAACAACACAAAGACATGTGTCCAATAAATTGCACTTATTTCTGTTTTACTTACCCACAGTCAAACAGTTAGACATTGATGGCTTGTACGGAGATAAGTTGTACTAATTTTTATTAAGAACAGTAAGTGCATATTAGTTAAAAGTCTAAGTGACTATCAAAATTATCATCAATGTTGCACCTAATTTCAGGTCTACAGGACAAGCTGTGAACCACATGTGGAGAAATCCGAACACTTCACTTCTACTTGAAGTTTGTGCTGACGATATCGTCCAGAAGAACGACGAAATCTCCACGACAAAACTATCCAGCTCAGAGAACAAAACTCCATCAAAAACCTAATTTCAACGTTGAATTTTGAAAAACAGATTGGTGGTTTACCTGTGATGTGAACTTTTTAGATCCTAATGTTCACTGTGACTACTTATCGTAAAATCCACCTTTTTACGACAATGGTTAGTTGACAAATAAAAAATTTCCTGTTTCAACTAGATAGAGAGTAGTAACACAAATATTAGGGTAATCAGTTGCCGGCTGTACTCAACTACTGCATTCCCCATTGCCAAGGTTTATTTGAAGAACGACTAGTAGTGCAACATCGGAATGGAATCGATGTGCCTAGCAATTTGACGGGATTATATGCATGATCTTCATTTGGATTAAAATCATTCGTCACATTTCTTACAATCGAAGTTAGCAAAGATTTATGTCGGATGACGGTTACACAAAGATATGACATTATCCCTTGAGGTAGTTAGATATAAGTAACGTAGGACCTTGTACATATGTGAATCCGTCCAAGCTGATACACCACATCAGAAAAGGTGGAATTGCCAAGGTGAATACCATAGTAATATCAACGGAAGTAGAGGAGATTAGACATACAAGTGATTAGAGGGTGAATTCTCAGGATAAAAGGTAAAAAAAATGGTTCTAAAACTCAAAATCTAGACATACTTAAACAGTAAAAGGTTTTGCATCACTGAGACCGACTTTGATTAATGTCACCCAACGTCCCCAACTATTCCTCACGATAATCGAGCGGACACCCCAATTAGGCATTCCGCACTTACCAACATGGTTTAAGCCATGAAAACACCAGCTGTTAGTTTGAGACGTGTTCGGAGATACAGATCTCCTGGTCAGATTTCAAGTGACAATCAAAACTAATGGTTGAGGTTCTTAAGTGAAGATTTATAATAAATCGCAATGATAAAGATGTACTCGTCCTTTGTTTTCTCCTAGACTAAGCTTCAATATTATTTCATACTTTACATCCCTTTATTTATTTGGTTGTTCTAAAACCATATTCTTGATATTTAGTTTCTGTAACTATTATTAATATTACTGTCACTGTGATTTCTATTTTGTTAACTGCTTTTTTCTTTCCATCGGTAAAAAGTGTGGGGCCTTCAACCAATGTACATCTGCCCCAGGTCTTGCCTATAAATGACTGATAAGTGACCCATCTAATCTGATGTTACGATCCGAATCTAAAGAGCGGAATCGTTTTGAGTCTTTACTTCTCTCTCTTTACTTCAACAAACACTTACTTCCTTGAGGTGCTTGACTTCTTTGTGGAACTTGTTCAACACCGAAATGGCTTGGATGTGGGACGGGTCCAGGTCCACCGTGATGTGGAAAGCCGGAGGGTGGCAAGTGAGACCCAGGTGAAGACATGGGAATCATATGATTTCCTGGAGTGTTAGGACCCACAGAAGGTGGTGTCTGATTGATATGACCAGGAAAAGCCATAACTGGTGCTCTCATAGACATGTCTTCATCCGGCATAGCAGGGGGGATTTGATCATGACTGCGATTTAACATAGCGATGGCAACTTTGGGATCGACAATCTTCATAACGATTTGAGCCTATGAAAAAAAATGAAAGAAATAAGTAAAAGAACGTATTTTAATCCGATTATGTCGAAATGAAAATTGGACTCAGTAATCTGCACTTAGTCTAGTTCACTGTCTGTGATTTCACATTATTATTGTAAATTACAACTTTCTGCATTATTATTTTTTTGGAGAACTCCATAAAACAAATGACTTTAGAAAGAACGTCAACTTTCGAGATTCAATTAGCGTCCCGTTACTTTACATAATATAACGATGTGATATATCGACTGCGTTACATAGCGAGAATAATACCGTTTACCGGGTTTATTGATGGGAGCTAAGTGCAAACACCGGGAATGAGTTTATAACATGTTAACTACTGATACGAATCAACGACACATCAAAAAACCCAAGTGCTAACTATAATTGTTTTAGCTCGAAGAAATGCAGTTAGTTCCTTTTCGATTATCGCACCACTTTATAGCTTTGGTTAGATCTGTGGGAGATAAACGGACAATAGTTAGCTAACAGTTAGTGGGGCGATCTAACCACATCTTAATTGATAAATTTATAGGATATGATGTAATGGTACGTTGGTTCGAATTTTCACACGTTCAAAAAATCCATAGGGAATACCTATTCAAGTTAAAAGAATAAGTAAAAAGACAACAATCAATAGTTTAGACCAAATGGATATACCAGTTCCAATCTAATTGGTTTTCAATCATATTGCTTGTGGTTTTCACATTTCAACTGTCAATATCTTATAGACTCAACTAGAGCAGTTTGTAGTCGCACAGTGTTTAATTTAATTGTCAGGATTTATATATAGGCATATTGTCTTGGTCTGATTCTCGAAGATTCATCCATTCTGCATTGACTCTAATTAACAAAACATTTCGACATAACTAGTCCATTGAAGGTAATAAGCCCAGAGATGTTAGACGTCAGGAATGGACAAATGGTCAGATGTATGATAAAGATCGAAACTTACTGGTCATTAACGCCCAGGTAAAATAGAGGTAAGAAATTCTCAAGAATCCGACATTCTGTAAAATAGGATTGATAGCCTAGATTGCATAGCTTATGTACAATTAACAGTTGTTACAGAAAAATCAGTGAAACAACTACTCTACTTATTCGATGGTTTTGAAGTCCTGTATGGACAAATAGATAAGAGTGAAACAACAAACGTTACCTGTAGTAAAGCATATGCTAGTTGAGGATTTTGGAGTAACATATTGCGTGCTTCATTAGGATTGTTTTGTATACAAAGTTTCATCTGCTTCATTAGTTCATACATTTGTTCAGGTGGTAAGCTAGCAACTGCTCGACTAATAGCTTCTGGTGCAGCTTGTGGGTCAATATGATCTCCATATGGGCTTTCAAGTGGTGGACCAACTGATGGGTTACTTAGGGCCAGTTCAGCAGAATTTTGTTCTCCAGCAGCTGGTCCGATACGGAGCGGACGACCATTGAATTCAATATTTTGAAGATTCCGCAAAGCACTCGCAGCAATGGCTGGGTTATTGTATTCACAAAATCCATAGCCTTTGGGTTTCCCAGATTCTCTATCATATACCAAACGAAAACCGATTACAGGACCAGCCTATGAAATAATGAAGTAGGATGAGAATTATTACCTTGCTAAATAGTTCGATAAGCTTTTCCTCAGTCGCTTCATACGGTATGTTACCTACGAAGATAGATCGCGCGGTCTTTTCAGCAGCCTCCTTAGTTAACACGGGTGCCGCCATCAAAGCCAAGATTCTGGAAAGATTTTAATTGATATGCAGTACGATTTATTAACAAGAAAATGTCTATATAATAAGAACCTGGAAAAAGAATGACAGAAGTTACTTTAAAGGCATGCGACAAAACTGGAAAAAGTAACTAGAAACTGGTTAGCCAAGCGGGAATTCGCGTCTTACGCCGTAAGTCCTAACTCCTACAAGTGGACTAATTACTATTATTCAGTCAAATTAGATTAAGTACATTAAGGTTACAAGGAGCAACCTAACAATAGTAACAAAAGGAATCAAAACGAAACGACACTTATGTTCATCAAGTTATGGAGTAATTAACTTCACTTAAGCTTGAAGTACATAAGACACAAAACCTGGATTTCGTAATACTAAAAGAAGTCTAGCAAGATTTAGGAAACTACGGGATTTGACCAGCGATTTTCCTTTACACTACTGTGAATTAGGCGATCATTTGAAGACGCATGTCGTTGAATAGCACATAGAAGAAGAAGTAGACGAGTTTCACGATTGTTTTCTCTCTCCACCTTTTAACCAAGTACTACCAGACGTTACGGATTTTTGTACATAAATACAACCTACATAGCGTAAAAAAGAGTCAAGAAGTTGCCACATACTCTACGACTGCAGAATAGAGAAGCAAACAAGATATCCCAGAAAAATATCAATAAAGAGAGAAACTAAAGTGACAAGACGTTTAGTACTCAAAGGGAGAGAAATAGGGGATACACTACCAATAATGCTGTGCTATATCACTCATATTGTATAACCACATATTCATTGTGTAGAATATCTCACTTAAGAAACATACATCTCAACGGTTTGATGAGGGATGTTTGGAATTTACCCCTCATTAAGAGTCACAAATTGTTCGCCAGAGATAATCATGCACTTAAACATATCAAACAGCATGTAGTGAGTTAATGAGTGGACGATGGACTTGTTGGTTATTCTCTTCAAAACATAAAGATCGTGTTAACATTTCGTATTACATATAACACTACCTACTGAGATCCACTTTTCTTTTCTCTAGGATAAATAATTTCCGCCCAATTACAATGTGTTCTAAACCATGAATAGATAAACTCTGGTTGCAAATTTGATGTTTATACCAGGCGCTTAACTACTAGGGCAACTGATCCAGCAACCATAATCGGACTCTTCATAGAAGTAATTGCCGAAAGGGTCAACACAAGTCACTAACTACACGTAACATATCAATTAGATACAGTACCTGAATGATACATTTGACGCACGACGTGACTAGTGGATCTGATGAGGGACTGGGTAGAAAGTCAGATGAAGAACCAGTCCTAACCGCCGCACATCTACAGTAAACGTCGTTTGTCGTGGTTTAATCAGCTCGAGTGATTACCAGTATTAACTTTAATAGAAGATACAGGAATTGTGTTACTTTATCACTATTTCTACAGAAAGGATCAATTATAATGGTACATGAAGTTACAATAGAGAAGGCCTATTCATAGTGTTAAAGTCAAGTGCTTTCGGATGATGGTTATAAAATCCGAGCCAAAAACCCTAAGAAGGACACTAATAGATCTAGCGCGGTTTTTTATCATTGACTTTTATTCCTGATAGGTATAGCATCTCAGATAAATGCACGTATGTCCTAGGTCCTACTTTGTACATAATCAACTCGTGATCACTCCATTAATCAAAAAGTGGCAAGTTTAGTTGTTAAAATGACATATACCAATGTATAATACCATTACTAGCAGTGACTGGCACGTCATGAAATTAGTTTAGGTTTGTAAAGCTGCAGGTGGACACAAAACACAAATCTCACTCAGAAAAACCGTGGCCCGGAGCTGGATAAATTTAGAAGTGGGGCTAAATGTTGCACAGATCTATGTTTTTGCTACCTTGGAGTGACAATAAACACAAAAAGAGTAGGATAAAAGGTTCAGCGCAAAATACTGAAAACTTTAAAAATATGTGATCTAGTAATCTTTGAAAAGTAGGGTTAGATTTTGGACACAAACATGTTTTTCGTTCAGCATTTTTATGTTAAACACAATCTATAGACTGTGTCTACAGTCTTGCAAAACAGATGACTGGGTTGATTAGTGTGTAGCATCCTGGAAAATACAGACAGTTCCTAGATGCGAGGATTACACCCGATGTGAGGAAACCCTCATTCATGTCAACCAAATCTAAACTGAAAATACAAGAGAAAAAGCCTTGCAACCGACGTCAAGTGCGCTGAAGGTCGAAGCAGCAGGTAAATATCTAACTTAAAAAGTTGAGCCTTTTCAACCTTCAAACTTTGCCTGGCAGAATAAAATGTTTCCTTGTGATCTGTGTCTGAGTAATCGAAGTGTTTTCTGCTATGAAAATGTGTTACTCCTGTCATATTTCTTCCGGGGACTGAAGGGCAAAATAATCAAGTCATGAATATAGGTCGTCAAAGAATGACACCGGAGACAGTCATTCGCAGTGCTAACAGAACTTCTGTCTCCGGTCTTCAGCAAGAAGGATAATAGATAGTTTAACCTGTGTTAGTCCTTTTGACTTGTTTCTCATTGAATATTAATCTTCTCCTTGAAAGTGGTCACTCCTAGAGCTCATACTGTGGAGATATGACTGACAAGCTTATTTTGTAAATAGTTTTTATTATAATTCGTATTTATTTTGCCAACCTCTATGAACCCCTCTCTGGACATTCAGCAGCAAATAGCACACTTAACTCAGCGAGTAGCATCGTTGCAGGCGACCATTGCCACGATCCACTCTCGTCCTGCCAGATCGATCTCGAGAAAGCGATCAATGTCCAGACTTCGCCCTAGGTCACCCAAACGGGCAGCAAACACTCGCTGGTATCATGCGACTTTCGAGGAGAAGGCATGTCGTTGCACTAAACCTTGAAACTTTAAAACAAGCAGTCCAAACCAACAGGGAAACGAAGTGGCCAGACAGTAATGGCGGCGGCTGTTACTGGCCAACATGTTAGCCGTCTCTTTCACGTCAGGGATCGCATTTCTGGCTCAGACTTTTTAGTCGACACTGGAGCAGAAATCAGCATCATCTCACTCCACCTCTCACGCAGACAACGAACGACAAGCATCAAATTGTCCTTAGTAGTGGCTAACGATTCAATTATCAAAACATACGGAGAGCAATCACTGATATTAGACCTCGAACTACGCAAACGATTTACATGGGTTTTCATAGTAGCTCACGTCAAACAACCCATCATCGGAGCCGATTTCCTGAGCGCATACAACTTGCTAGTAGATGTGAATAATAAGAAATTAATTGATAAAAACACACGTCTACAGGTAGATGGCACAACTTACAACGATTACGAAATTCATGGAGTACGAATAACGAAGCCCGTGAACAACATCTTAACAGAATATGAATGCATCACGAAATCCGATTATTACAAGGAAAGCAACCCACAACAGGTGCAGCACCACATCACTACCAATTGTCCCCGATTTGCACCGGGGCGAGGAGACTTCCCCCAAGCAAGTTGTAAGCGGCTAAAAGAGAATTTGAACATATGATGCAACTTGGTATCATCAGACCATCTAACAGTCCTTGGGCCTCGCCATTCCATATGGTGCCAAAGAAGGATCAAGACTGGCGTCCATCCGGTGACTATCGCCGACTAAACAACCAAACTATTCCTGATAAGTATCCCATTCCGCATCTATACCATTTTTCGTTAAATCTACACGGCAAATGCATCTTTTCGAAAAATGACCTAGTACGAGCATACCATCAAATTCCAATGGCACCGGAAGACGTTGAAAAACGGCCATAATCACACCTTTTGGTTTGTTTGAGTTTCTAAGGATGCCATTTGGACTGAAAAATGCTGCTCAAACATTTAAACGCTTCATGAATAACGTTACAAGAGGTCTAGATTTCGAGTTTGTTTACATAGACGATGTTTTAATTGCAAGTGCATCATTAGAAGAACACGTCCAACAAGTACAGATCCTCTCCGATCGCTTTAAAAAACATGGTGCTGTCATTAATCCGTCGAAATGCATATTCGCAGTTCCACCCTTAGAGTTTCTAGGACATTACATCGACTCGCAAGGTATTAAACCACTTTCAGAAAAAGTCGAAGCCATAGTAAACTTTCCTGAGCCTAAGTCGATAAAGGCATTATGTCGGTTCCTGAGGATGTGCAACTTCTACCGAGGTTTTCTCCCCAACTGCGCGACCACCTTACAACCTTTGAAAAACCTACTGAAAACGAATAAAGCTGCAGCTCAGGCGAAAAAGGGGAATACCTTCATTTTAACCTCCGAAGCAAGAGAGGCCTTCGGTAAAGCGAAATCAATGATATCCAATGCTACATTGCTACAACATCTAAATACTGACTCCTCAAATCACTTGATTCTGTGCACGGATGCATCTCGAAAAGCCGTCTGGGCAGTATTGCAACAACAAGTAAACAACGTGACTACTCCTATAGCGTTTTCCTCCAAAGACTGTCACCAGCTCAGGAACGTTATAGAACTTTCGGTCGAGAGTTACGAGCCATGTATTTAGCCGTTAAACACTTCACCTTCTTATTACAAGGGAGAACCTTCACTATAATGACTGACCACAAGCCTTTGTGTTACTTGTTCAATACTTCATACGATCGACATTCACCACGCGAAGCACGACAATCAGATTACATCTCCCAGTTTACAACAGATATCCAATACGTCAAAGGGCACACTAATGTAGTAGCTGACACATTATCACGAATGTATGTGAATACCCTGATACGTAAGCAGGATATCGATTTGGAAACAGTCGCAAAATTGCAAGTAGACGACTCAGAAATAAAAAGCTGCCAAGTGAAACCTAACTTGATACTTAAACACGTACCGATTCCTTTTTCAGACTCATTTATCATCTGTGACACCTCGACAGGCAACAATCGTCTGTTCGTCCCACATGCTTGTCGACGAAAAATATTCCAGCACTTGCACGGTCTTTCACACCGAGGCATCAGAGCAACAACAAAGGTCACTACCGAACGTTTCGTGTGACCAAAAATCAACTCGGATGTTAAACGTTGGGCACGTAGCTGTCTCCAGTGCCAACGCATTAAAAAGCAGAAACACACCTCCAGTCCAATTGGGAAGTTCCCTATCCCTGACAAACGCTTACAGCACGTGCATTCAGATTTAGTGGGGCCCCTGCCACCATCAAACTCTTTCACACACATCCTTACTGCAGTAGACAGGTTTACTTGATGGGCCATAACCTGCCCCATAAAAGACACTTCGGCAGAAATAGTCGCTTCAGTCTTCCTCGACCGCTGGATATCTAACTATGGAGTGCCATCATTAATCACAACAGATCGTGGTCCCCAATTTCACTCTGTCCTTCTTCAGGAGTTCACTAAACTTCTAGGGGTCAACCACACTAAAACCACAGCTTACCACCCAGCAGCTAATGGCTTGGTCGAGAGATTTCAATGCTAACTAAAATGCTTGCTGATAGCACAAAACGACATATCAAAATGGAGCGATGCATTATTTTTTGTACTCCTAGGTATCCGTTCAACAATCAAAGAGAACATAGGGTGCACATCTGCTGAGTTAGTCTATGGTACAACTCACAAATTACCAGGACAACTCGTAGACTCAAATCCAGCAACAGCAAAAGACCCAAGCCGTTTCGCCAGCCAATTACTACAAACCATGGATAGAATCAAAGCCACACTGCCTCGAGAACATAACAAGCGAGTGCAACTTGACAAAAACCTTGAAACATGCAAGTTTGTTTTCGTCCGTGTTGATGCAGTTAAAAAAACCCATTGAAGCAACCGTACGAAGGACCATAACAAGTAATCAAACGAACAAGCAAATACTTCGTTACCAACAAAAATGGGAACATGGAGACAATCTCCGTAGACAGAATAAAACCAGCTTTTTACGAATTCCTTCAAGACAAAGAAGATACTACTGCACTTAACCAACCCCTCCCAGCAACCACCACTAGAGCAGACGAGGAAGAAAAGCCCAGTAGCAAACCTACTTTTTAACACGTCTAAATCAAATACTATCTACATTTATAGACTGTTATTGGAGTATATCACATCCTACGTTGGATTATATCACTGGAGAGTTCGCCAACCCGATCAGTATTACCAAGCATTTATGATTGAGGATTTACAATACCGGACCCAATCAGAACACGCAAGATTTGGTGAATTTAAGTAAAGTCCCAAATTTTTATTGTATTTGTAACAATTAACTGGTATATATTAATATTACTATTGATCTTTAGTAACTTTGTTGATACTTTTCGCGTTCATATTTGTCTGGTCCACCACAATACCTATTGTACGGGGAGGGTGTGGAGATAGGGATGGTTGTCGTGGATATCTCCACGAGGGTATTCTAAATTATTCAAATGGTTCTAGACGGAAGTGGAGAAGCTTTCGTTTAGTGAGCTTTCGTATCTAGTAGTAGTGGATCACCGATGCCTCGTGGCTGGAACCTAGGTACATTCTACGATAAGAAGGAACATATTAGTAAATTATAGTGAGTTACAGTCCTGAGTCCTTAAGAATATGTCAAGTTTCCTCTTAAAGTACTCCTGCGAGGTCGCTCAAACTACTTCAGTCGGCAACAAATTCCAGAATTCGACTACTTGTAAAGGGTAAAAGGAATGCTCACAGTCAATTGTGCCATGATGTCATGATGTTAGACCTGAGCTTAAGTAGATAATTAATAGGATACACAGGAGTGTTTAAGATGTTATAAGTCCTTAAAATGTCATCTCTGAGACGCCTATATTCTAATGGCTAAGGGTCTAGTAATCACAGACACTCTTCATAAGGTTTGAATTTTAGTGCCTTAACTGATTTCGTGGCTTGCCGCGTATTCCATTTCATGTCTACTTCCAATTTTCAGTGAAGTGCGTTCTACGGCCTTGCTCTTTACCGTTTACCTTCAGGATTCCGTGTTACGACTTGCCTCGTAATGCAGTTTGATGATCTCCATAACGCATGTCTCATCCACTTTTAACGTCTTTTCCTAATCTCCTACTCAGCTGGAAGTTGGTTTTTCCTCTTTCACAGTAGATTGTTGTTCATTGTATCCGGCCTGTCGACACTTATTCTTCCTCCTTAATCTTTCTGAATAAAACGTCGAGCATGATTGCAGTTACTTCTATGTCTGACCTCGATGCTTCCTCTGGTATATTGTTAGGTCCTGCTGCCTTCCCCCTTTTATTTATCTGATGGTCATCCTAGCTTCCCCGTCGTTGGTGGAGTGACATCTATATGAAGGTCTGAAGGTGCTGCTCCAATGTCCGGTGGATTTAATGGATCTGTATTGGCATTGGACCATAACCACACAATCTTCAAAGTTGAGCACAAAACTGCTCGGAAAATAAATATTCAATAGTTAACGCGGAGAAATACCAAACGATGGAAACGGCGGGAACAATGAATTGAATGAATTGGAGTTGATCGAATGGCATGGCTCGGCCATTCAGGCGTGGTCCCTGCTGAATATTACCTCATATATTTTATTCATATTAAACATATTGTTCTTTCTCTAGCCTAAGCTTGTTTTTCATCATGTATTGGTAGTTGTTACGATGCAGTAAGTTGGTGTAGACGATGATGTGACTTCCACGTAAGATCTTATAGATTAGGCAGTTATATCATGACAAATCTACAATTTTAGGATTAGGTCTATTATTAGAGCAGTACTAATATCATAGTAGACCATAATTCTACAGATCTAGGATCAGTGAGGCATGTCTATTCAAGACTTTATCAAAGTGTTCTACCCATCCGTTCCTTGAATCTCAGAGATTGACTTACCTTATTTACCCTTGATTGGTCATTCTGGTTTACTATATATCTACGTTGTGTCATACAGTTGTTTCATATTTACTTCTCTTGCGGCTATTTCTGCTGGCGTTGCTAGGTCTTTTTTATTGTCGGTTCTAATGTTTCTCTACACTTTCCTAATTGCTTCCGTGTATTTAGCTTGTGCCTTGATTTTCTCTGTTCCTGTTTGGCTGTTGTTAATTACTGTCTTTTTGTCCTTCCCTTCTTGAATCATGTAAAGGTTTTCTAAAGAGATCCGTCCCTTATGATGATGCTTCTTGCGGCCCAGCACCTCCTGACACGTTGAAGTTAACACTCCTTTGGTACCTTTCCAGTTGTCCTCCATGGTGGTTTCTCCTTCTTTCAGTGGATCCTGTAAGGCTTGGACCCGTTTTTGAGAGTTATCTTGAATTCGTCGAGTTTGTAAGTATTTCAAAGGAAGATTGTATTGAACCTTTGTAATGCTGTTCTCCCAGTTGTCCAGTGTCTCATCTTGCTCAGAACCGGGTGTTGATCTGAAGCTATGTCATCTCCCCTCTTGGTTCTCACGTATTCCGTCAGGACGATCAGGTCTTTTCCCGGGTATTTTTCTATTATCGATAGCATCCTCTCATTAAACTGATCTATATCATCATCGCTGCTATCATCAGTAGGTGTATAACATTTCATAACATTCATCGTGATTCCCTTCTTTCTTTTGAAGGATGATGTGATAGACCTAGGTCCACGAGATTGCAATCCTGTGAGTGCATTATGTGCTTCTCTGGACAGCACTAGAGTAACTCCCTGAGTGTGTGGAGCATTTCCCTCCTCGTCACCAGAGTATAGCAGAATCTCTCCCTATTCAGCCTTAGCTGTCCAACTTGGGTTCGATGGGTTTCGCTAATTCCGAACACTGCCAAGCTGTATTTCCTCATTTCGGTTGCTACTTACTAGTCCTCCAGGTCCCTCGCATTGTCCGGATATTCTACGTACCTGTAGAAATTGTTGCTCTGATTGTCAGAAGGGGCATCGTCCTCATGACTTCCGAAGAATCTCTGTTTTAACACTGAGGCGTCATAGTTCTCCCTTGAACTCACAGGAGAGAGTTTAAATGGTTTAATTTGTTAATTCTAGTTCGCGTTTTTTAACAAGGATGGTTTCCTCGGAATGGGGTCCAGTTAAACCTATTTTCACTCGACAACAGTCAACTGATGTTTTTGTCTTACCCACCTTACGACTTCGTGCCAAAGATTTTGAGTGTTGCAAAACCTTACGCCAACCCCTAGAAAACCGATATGAAGGATCATTTAAATTCCTTCATTGCAAACCTATGTATTATATTATCGATAAGAACGGAACTAACGATAACATTATATTTCATAAGTCTCTCTATTTTATCAAACGATCAGTAGCTGAACTTTCACTCACAGGCGAGTTGTTATCAAACAACACTAAGTATAAATTGAATCTCCACAGCAATACTTGCAGTAGCGATTAAGTAGGTTGACCGCCCTATTACACCCAAATTACTAACAGCCGGAACTCTTCAGAGAACCATGAAGTTACAACTGTTCTTATACACAAACAAGAATAATACCAAGTGAGATATTCTTTTCATCTGGACTACACATCCTTTTACTCTTAAGTTGAGGATTGATGGGAACAATTTGGAGATTGAACGGACGTCGGAGCGGTGTTTCGGGTTTTGCGTTATGGCTAGGTTTGGAGCCAAGGTTAGGGAACTGCGATTTCTCGTTGCCCAGACTGCTCCTTCGAGCTCTGGAATTAGGTTTGTTAACTGCAATTTTGGTCTAAAATTTTCCACAAGGGCGCAGGTATATTCATTTGATCTTTCCTAAGTTTCCGGACCTCAAAGTTTTGTTATATCTCTATTTTCTCCTACACCTAGTCTTTTCTGCTACCATTCGTACTATTACTACTTTTACTTCTCTGGGGTTCGTCATAATAAATATAGCTTGCGGTGGTAATGAGGTGCGAGAACTTGAACCAACACACGTATGTGTTAGGTTCTACATTACATATAAATGATAACTTTCGTTCGTACGTATGATGAATTATCAATTTTAAGCTTTCAGAAAATCAAGTCTGATTGCTACCACAACACTAATATTAATGAACTTGATATAAATTTATATTGGAAATCGACAATGCAGCTAACGGATTATTATACGTCGTCTTTCACTTTGTCTAATCCTCCCTACAACCGTGAAGTGTTAGATTGGATAACAATCCACAGTATATCCTCGTCAGTCATGTGGTCTGTTTATCTAAGCCATCTTGATTCTACGCATAATTAACTAGAAAATTCATTCGATTGTATTTACTGACGATTTTAAACCGTGCGAAGTTATTGTTCCCCTATCAATGAATGCTTTATTTGAGTGTCAAGGTTCTTTGTAGCGATGGCTTGTTACGGGTGCGCAGATGTATTCATACTCTTATTATAGAAAATGTCAACAGTAAAACCATAAACTGCGTTTTGTACATTCCTTCAGTGATATGCTGAGATACTATATTATCCAATAATAAAGTCGTCCATCTCATTGATCATAGCTATTATTATCCTCTGAAGTATTTTGATCACCGCTACACAGAAATGTTGTTCGTTAAGCTAATTTCACACAAACCATAAGAGCTATATCTGTCTAAAATATATGAATATATTTCTTATGGAATCGATTTTATGGAACAATAAAATCATTTTTACAAGTTGCCAAGGTTTATTTAAATAATCTACAGTCCTCATTTTTCTGTAAACTTACAGGGATTTTATTTCACGTCACTATCTGTCTCTAAAAACTGCTAATCCTCATGTGAAGTTTATGATTCGTGAATCAGAAGGGATCACACCAAAAGTGTTCGCTCGTTATGGTTAGTTTAACTAATTTTTTAATGTTTACTTTCTTATTATAGAGATGGGGAAGGAAGACTGCATTTCAGTGGCAAATAACACAGCTGATGATATAATTTCGAAACTTAAGACTCTAGATCGAGTATAAAATGTTTTTTTGTAACGATTCTACGTAAATTAGTTTATAATTAATAACTTTGAGGATAAATAGCATTGTTGACAGCTTTATTCGTTTCTGTCAGTGAAAGAAACATTTAACTCGTTGAAATATAAATCAATTATCGGTGAACTTATGTTTTAAAACTCAAGGGTTTCGTGAATGTAAAGTTCTAATCCCAGATTAGTTCACTAGAAAAAACGGCAAAGTATTTTTCAAGGAATAGATGTAGCGGGTTAACATTCTCGCCCAATAGGGGATCGTTTCTGATTGCTTAATTTATCAGCAAATCGCATGAAAAATCTATTACGAGGAATATTCTTCACATTGCAGATTAAACAAATGGTGGTAGGCTGTCACATGAAGATGTTGGATGTATTTGAGCTGTAAGTCGTTCACAAATCCATGGATGTCTTGGAAATTGCCATATGGAGGTGTCAAATATGTTGACTATTGAGTTATAATCGCGCTGATATTTATGATGGGAATCGCATTTATGGTGAAGTAACACTAGATTAACTGTTTCTGTTTTTTTCTTTTACAAGGAATTCAAGGTAAATATATGTATAGAAAATTTAAATTATTCACATAAAACTGATTATGGCTTTTGGGAAATTCTGAGTTCCTGTTAGGTTTTTCGTGACTTCAGGTGAATCAGTAGACCGAAATGGACTTAATTTTTGCAATATGTTCATTTGTAAAACTGCTAACAAGTTTACGTATATTGACTACTTTTCAACAAGGAGTGATAACTGTGTTACATATAGTCTAATGACCATTCTCAAAGTACTAGATCAACGTTGCTTATCGCATGTATGCTACTTATAAGATTTTAGTATGGGTCTTTTATCCGTAACTCGTTTTCCCTTAGAAAAAGTTCATATTTCGTTATTTTTAGGTATACTACTTATTGTACAACTCAAGTGTCTGTAATCGAAAGTCTTCGAAATCGTAGTTTTTAAGGTTCGTTTGTAAGACTAATTCATGGACCCGCCTTGAGCGGCGCTAATATGAGCTTGAAAAATGTCGTCTGCTTACTAGGATTAAAAAGAGCTATAAATTAGTGTAATATATCAGAATCGGGATCTATAATTAGAAGTTAGGGTTAGGAATTAGAGTAAGGATTTTCATCACGAACTGACATTATCTATAACGCTAGAATGCTATTTAGCCATATAAATGAATGGATTTCGCGCCAAAATTCAAGACTCACCATCGTAAATGTGATTGGTTCGTCCACAAATTATAGTCTCGTCGTTGGTAAATGCTCTATATTATCATGAATTACGGGCTTCATGTATCAAGTCCTGTCTTTACTACCTTGACATCTAAGTCACTTGTATAGATCAGATATTCACACTACGCCAGGTTCTAGAACTGTTATAACGTGAAAAATAACGCTGATTAAGGGATAGCGAATTATTGATCGGACCAAAGACGCACAAACACGTAGAACGACCTAGGGTTCTGATTGGTCTCGCTTCCCTGTCTAACCCAGCCAGTTGAGTCCAGAACGAAAGTCACAGCCTCGGATATATGAATCATTATATTTCAAACATACTCTGTTTATATACTAATCAAGCAGTCCACAACGTACCATAAAATAGAAGATAACATTGTACAATAATGGCCAACAGGAAAATAACACGTTAAATAAATATTGACCAATAAGATTATACCATTTCATGTCCAAGAATAGCATTAAGCTTGACAGGATAATTTTTGGGATATTTCCTTGAATATCCCAACACCTCCCCTTTTTTTGGAGATTCGGAGTTGATGTCCGGATTTTAAATTTTTCTCGCGTCTATCCTCCCCTCGAAATAATGTTGGGTCTTCATAAACCCAAGGAACAGTTAGTGTGACTCTATTTGAAGCATATTTCTCGCGTTGAGTAGAGAGTCCACTAGGACTGACTAGATGGTGAGGATCAGCGACAGTAGATCTGAGGTCATTAGGGTTTAAATCTTTAGTAAGTAGTGGAGCATTATGATAATCGGCGTCCAACAAAACTGTACCAGGTTCTTGGTTATTATTTGATGCGTGAAACACATTTTCTGGCAAAACAATGAGATCTTCTCGTGAGCTAGATATGTTACTGTCTGCACATGCTGTTTCGGGGTTGATGGAGTTTGAATCCATTACCGGGCATGTTTCTGAAATGGAAAGTACTGGACCAGTGGGCGCATCATGGATGACTGTTTCGTTTGAAGTACAGTTCATCGAGGATTCATGGAGGCTGCTGTCATTTTCCAGCTCACTGTGTATTTCAGATATCAATCCATCCACTTCCGTCGCATCTTCATAGCATGAGTGATTTAGCAGCTGCGTGCGGAACTTGACTAATAACTCAAAATGTCGTTCAAAGAGCAGCTGTAATCGATAGGAAGGGAGAGTCATTTTTTTGAATCAGCACCTGTGATGAAAATTACTGTATGACTAATGACCAATGTGGTTCAAGGACACTGATGACAATCTGGATACTGATTGGTTGAATAATTAGACTGGGTTTCGTCCAATTACAGAATGACTTTGGATTGTATTTTTCCTTCACCCCGTCGCCAATTGTTACAACGTGAAAAATAACGCTGATTAAGGGATAGCGAATTATTGATCGGACCAAAGACGCACAAACACGTAGAACGGCCTAGGGTTGCTAATCCATTGGGGTTTTCCCGCGTGGGTTCGAATCCCATCCCGTTGGCTACTCTAAATTCTACCGATTGACTAGCTTCAGATATCCCAGTTCGACCCCAATACTGTTCCCAATCTCCAATATATCAGAACACGAACCGTAGATGAAAAATCGTTTATGGGGTCAGGAGCAGCAGAATAATGATTTACAAACAAATGCATATTTATACAGTTAGGATTACTATAAATATTGACCAACAGAAAGATGACACGTTAATTAATATTGACCAATAGGAAAATGACACGCGAAATAAATATTGATCAGTAGGGAAACGACCAATAGGGAAATGACACCATTTAACGTTCAAGGGTAGCGTTAGACTTAACCGGATGATTGTTTCTGGGATATTCTTCTGAGTATCCCAACAAGAACACAGACACCCATTCAGATGCCCCACAATAATAGTATTTCTTGACCTTAAGGCGGCATTCGACTCTGTTGATCGTGAGGTTCTATGGCAGTGTTTGTCACTGAAAGGAGTACCAAAGAAGTACATTAACCTTGTAAAGGCTCTCTACTCGAACACAACTGATCGAGTGAGAGCTTATGGCGAACTGTCATCAGAATTGATTACCTCAAGTGGTGTTCGTCAGGGCTGTCCAATCTCTCCATTCTTGTTTAACTTTGTCGTCGACGTACTTTTAGACATAAGACTTTCCTCATCTAGATTTCCAGGGGTTGAACTTCTACCGGGAGGTTCACTTGTTGAGTTAGAATATACTGATGACATAGTTTTATTTGGTGAAGACGCTGACAAAATGCAGAGTCTTCTGACCACTCTAAGCAACAATGCAAGCATGTTCGGGATGCGATTCTCCCTCTCAAAATGCAAAATGTTGCTTCAGGATTGGGTTACATCGATACCCGAACTAGTGATAGAGAGTGAAGTAATTGAGCCTGTCGACCGCTTCACTTATCTTGGAAGTCTCATCATCCCTTGTGGTCTGGTGTGTGACGAAATCTCAGCACGGATACAGAAGGCTCGACTAGCTTTTGCCAACTTGCATCATTTATGGCGTAGGCAAGATACCGTCTATCAACCAAAGGACGTGTTTACTGCGCAGCAGTTCGTCCCGTCCTACTTTATGGCAGTGAAACATGGCCGGTAAGAGTAGAGGATATTCGTAGGTTATTAGTATTTGATCATAGGTGTCTTCGAAACATTGCTCGTATATCCTGGGACCATCGAGTAAGTAACGCAGTTGTTAGGAAAGGGGTACTAGGTAAGGATGGCAAATCAATTGATGAAGTAGTGAAACTTCATCAGTTGAGATGGCTGGGACACGTGTTACGTATGCCCAACGACCGACTACCTCGACGTGCTATGTTCAGTGGTATAGAGGTAGGTTGGAAGAAAGATAGGGGCGGCCAGACCAAAACATGGCACAAGTTCATGAAGTCACTGACAACTGGACTGAGTCATGTTGGTAGGTGTAGACTACCTGGTTGGGGACCACGAGATGATAGCAACCGATGGTTAGAGACCCTGAATGACATGGCTCAAAATCGTTTGCAATGGCGCAGGTGCATCCACTCTTTGTGTTCTCTCAAATGCTAATCTTCTGATTTCTTCATGTCCCTTTCTTTTTTTCTCTTTCCAAATTTACTTCACTGGATTATAGTCCTTGAATAACATCTTCAAGCCCTATTTTTTCTGATTACAGCTTATAATCTTACTACATCTAGCACTACGGGATTTGAATCGACTACTGCATCTCTGTGCTAATGTGGTGTGGCAACTCGAACTGATGAACGTACGTGCGAAGTTCTACGTTGGGACTGACTGACTGATATTCTCTTATAGTACTTGTTAATATTCAGTAGTCAGTTTCATTTTTAGTAATTTCTGAACGTATAATGTAACGTTTATTTGTAATATTCTTGTGTATCTACATAAACCCAAAACATTTACTGTATTTATTATTGCAATCACATTCTCTCAATCATTGTAACATTTGTTCCCGGTTTCTGTTTATCCCTTGAATCTTTTAACGCGACAGTTTCTATATTTGTGTGCTTCGATGGAATTAACAGGTTTACATATTTATTTGGTCTTTATTATTTATTTGAACAGTGATTTCTTATAATAAGTAACACACTTTTTAAAGATTGTGGAATTTATGTATGATAATCATCTGCAGTTACAGACAATCACACTTGATGCATTATGGATACTTAATAGAACACTAAAGGAAAATTTTATATGATCGTTTGTAATTTCGTTTTTGTGACGTATTTATTTTGTCTTAATCCATCAATCTAACACAAATCTCTGTGATGATCGATCTTAGTAATTTCAAATCATAGAATGTTTGAAATCAAGCAAATTTTGTTATGTTGTATTTAATGTGTCGATTTGAATGTGTTTTGCCTTACCAAAGTTTTCTGAACTGACAACATCGTTTACTAACACTAAGTCTCCCGAAGACTCATCCATCAATACCTTCTGAAACAATAGTGATCGCAGAATTCTTCTTATCAACTTTATGATGCGTCCCCATACACTGCCTCGTTGACTAGCCCTCGGAAGTTTAAAGCGCCATTCACAACCTCTCTCTAAAAGAGCATTTACTATCTTACTCTGGTTCCAACTACATATGATCTCTCTAAGAATAGCATTGGCTTCTGTACAACTACCAGATGCACCCTTACTCTTGTTCACAACTCGTACAAGGGCGCCTTTCTCAACACCATCCTCGATACCACGGCGAATATGTGCTACCTGCTTCTTCAGGGTCTTAGTTACTGGCTTCTTCGTTACAGTGGCATTCGGCCTTTTCGTAGTCTTGACTTTCAGTTTGGTGTCCTTCTTTTCCTTAGGCTTTCTTAGAGTTGATCTGGGTTTATTAGCAGATGGTGCTTCAGTTTTTGGCTTAACAACCTTGTACTTAGTTAATAAAAAGGAACAATGAACTTGACGAGAGACATTTTCGGGACCAGTATACTCCGCAACACCATATGCAGATTCTGATAATGCTATACGATCTTCCACAGACATCGATGAAGTACGACTAAGTGGGTCCTTGGATTCAGTTGAATACAATTGTTCAAACTTATCCTCTAATTTCTCCTTAACCGAGAGGCAATTCAGTACACGGTTGCTTTCACGGGGTTCTCCGTAAGGGCCGAACAGTGTCCAACCCAATATGGTCCTCACAGCAGATGGTTCATTCGTCTTCCCGGTTGTTATCTCTTTCATCTCGTGTACACCCGGTGCGTTGCACTCGATCAACAGTTTGACCTTCTCATCCTCTACTCTACAGGTTTAATTCTGAGCTATTCCCTAGACCGTCAAATACAGAGTCTTGGTTTGGCCAAAGTCAGAACAAGCAAGCTATTTGGCTAGATAAGCTTTATCTGTTTCTAAAACATTAGTGTACAAAAAAACAGTGCGGTCTATTAATACAGGGAAAAACAGAGACAAATAACATACCGAACAGTAGCCAGAGAATAGGAAAAATCAGTCAACAAAGCAAATATTGTTTTACAATCAACATCAAACTGCGATTGGTTAATAAAGAGATTCAGTCGCACAAGGTCAAAAGGAGTTAATGTGGTGGTGGGCGTTCCACTTTATTATTGGTGGATTCGTCTATCGATCACATTTTACACTCTCCCCGAAACACGTCCGTTGTCCAGGGTCGTTGTCGCCGTCAGACAGCCGGCTCCTTCTAGTAGACAT